TCGGTATATGTTTTGTATTATGTTTCTTGCAATCCAGACGAAATACTGGATGGCTTGCATTTTCTGTTTCGGGAGTTATTGCAGCAGGAGGGCTGTTAAGCTTTTATGTTTTGGGAGATATTGTGGCCAGGGGCTGCTAAGAAATTGATGTTGTCTCTTTGTTTGAGAAACGGCTTAATTGGTGAAAGTTTCCTCTGGCGTTTAAATATGCGCCGGGTTTTTAACCTTTGTCTCTTTTGCCGTATTTGGTATTTTGGTTTTTCTGAATGATATATTGAAGGAAGGAATTGGCATATTTTGGTAAGACATGGTTGAGGCCTATGTGCTTCCGAAGCTTATTTGAGATTGGTCAATGAGCTGAAACATGGTTTTGTGCGAGGATCTTGTCCGAAGTAATAGTTGACACGCTTTTCCGGAGTTGTCCGTCCAAAGTCTTCATGACGTGACTCTGATGTAATGTTGATCTTTGCGGAGTATTTTTCTAAGGATGATTCTTGGTTTTTGGCTGCTTGAGAATTTGGTGACGACATTTTCTCGAGAGGGATGATTGTTAAGACTCTAGTGAAGTTCCAACATACATAGTAGTGGATTAAGGAGGAATAGTAACTTGAAATTTGAATATTCAATAGATCGGGAAGTTGAGATGATTTGTGAATATGAAAGATGAATGGTTTTGGTTTTGTTGCCGTTTTACCTGGCGATATGTACGGAAGGTTCGTAGATCGTATCTCGTACCGAGTAGGGGGGCTGTTTGTGTATGTACTCGGCAGGATACAGATCTCCGAGATATCCGAGGGGGTACGCAGATATGATAGGTTTGGGTATATGCAGACGTGTGTGCAGCAGCAGGTCCTTCTTGCCTGCTGCTCATGCTTGTCACTCGTTAATAGTTAATCAAGGAACTTGAGTCACTCCTTTGTGCAACACGCTCTCGACAAGAGCCCGCGAGCGTGATAACATAGTACACGCGCCGACACCCCAAACAAATTTGAACCAAGTGACCGAAAAAAACTGAGGAATTTGAATCACCGAAACAAAGTGGACTATCACCGAAAACGGGAGGCGCCTCGCCGATATTTGCCGACGCTCGCCGATTTTTACCGTGCATTTTTTAAACAGTTCCATATTAAGGAGCTCCGTGGGTACTACTTACCCCGAAACCCTATCAGACAAATACCTTACCTACAGAACAGGAGCACCGTTTACACACAACCTAAGCACCACGCTGGAGAAACGGCGCAGTTTTGTGTAGGCGGTCGCCAAAATCACTGACCTTGAAAAAAGGAACCGCGAAAACGGAGGAATTTCGATCACCGAAAAAAAAAATGGCCGGTCACCGAAAACGGGAGGCGCCTCGCGCACCGAAAGTGTCCGAGAGGTGCTTTGCAGCAGCTCGCTTCTATTCTTGTTCATCACCGCTTTTCACCGCAAAACTTTTTCGGGCAGCTACAAACAACAATCACCGTGTTCTATTGGCAACTACAAAAAAAAAAAAACACCTACCGCGCACAGGCCTACCACCTCGAGGGAGATAAAATTAGCTAACAGGCTCTTCGGTGGCAATTCAGGACGTGGTGGGATGTGTGTGATCCTCTAAGGCATGCATGTGGCTGCCGCAGGTGCTGCATGCTACTAATGCGAGTTCAAGCCGTAGCCTATAGGTATGGCCACCATCATCAGGTGTCTCGCAAAAAAAACGGCGGCGGATGCTTGTATAGGCGCTGTACAATGTATGGTGAAACGTAAAAGAGTGTCAAAGAAATTGCAAGCCGCGGTGGACCGCAACTCAAAAAGGAAGCGTTCCAGAGCAGCACTGTCGAGGGTGCGGATTGCACGACGGGTACAGCCTGTCTAGCCGATACCTACAACAGCGCATGTGTTTGATGTGCGCTCGTCAACAGCTTCCTTCAAATACCTTCACATACACCCCTCCCCCATCCTACCAACCGCTCGTCTTTCTGCATCCAATGGTCCGGTTGTATTCGTTGACTGTGGAAATATCTCGAATGGGTGTAGTCTAGTCGTTCTGTGTATGTATTTATTTCTCTCCAATTTGTTGCCTTTGGGGTGAGTACCTGCGGGCAGCCGGTGCGCGCTGCGCGGAACTGTTCCGCGTTCCTGGAAATGTGGTGTACGTACGTGACAAAGGGCACAACGACACGGCACAGGGAAAAGGGAATTCCGAGTTCCTTGTCCAGCGAAGGGACGTTGCAGCACACGCCCTAAATTTATCCATGTGTAGTACGGTAGCGGTCGCTCCTGTTTCTTACTGAGACGTTTCTAATGTTGTGGCCCAGATTGAGCTGAGTCAACCCTGTTTTCTGATCTGTCGTGGAAATTAAATTGAGCCTTTGTTTAGCTTTGTTTCTTGATCGCGGGGGCTAACTGCTGTACCACCACCTCTCAACCACCGTGCGCCCTACTTGGTGCAGTACTGCGCTTGAAGCCTGCACCTGCTACCTCACATTTACCGGTCGTCAAACGGAGCACGTGGGGGGGCGTAGCCGCGTCCGCCGGCCTTGTAGGTACAGTAGATTATTTGTTGAAAATTAACGCCAGAGGCAGAGAGACGCGCGAGACAAATAATCATATCCTCCATCTGTGATACTGGGCTCGGAAAAAATCGCGTCTCTCGGTAAAATGCAGCGTATGTATCCCAACCAACCCAAAGATTCATGGAAGACACATAGTCTCCAATGTACTTAGTAATTACGTCGTAACCCTCAGTCTGCATACTTGTCACCGAACAGCTAGCTGTTGACATAATAAAGTCGTGGTCTGGATGTAGCATCGCATCTAACGAACCTTACAGGATACATACGTAAGCCCTGCGTATCCACACAAGCTTACGTAGACTGCATGCTGAGCGACGTGATAACGACAGCTGTCGCAAGAACAAAATAAGAAAATAAGTTCGTGGTCTGGATAATATAACATCGCATCCTACCACCCGTACAGAATATAGTCAATAGTCTATATATACATCCGCAAAAATAGCCCCTGCGTACACACAACAAGCTAGTTTGCGTAGAGCTGCTTGCCGAGCGACTTAACTAGACTATGTACTGAGTTTCAGGATAAGGACATAGGCAAGAGACAAGCTAGGCATACGTTGCGTAGACTACATGCTGAGCCACATGATAACTACCGGGCTACTGCATAAGGACAGTTGAAAGAGAAAGAGGGAGCGGGGCGGAATGGAAATCACAAATGAATCACGCACCTGACCATGGTGAGTGCTGGTTGCACTCCATCGTAGCCCTCGACCTTGTAGTAGCCTGTCTCGCCTTCGAGAAGATCTACAGAGAACACGAAGGTCTCGGCGAAGATGGGAGTGTCCGACGTAGTTGTGGCAGTAGTGGCAGAGGTCGTCGTCACAGCGAAGGCGCAGCTCGCGAGCAGGCTCGCGGTGGCGATTGTCGCCAGGGAGGAAGAAGTGTACATGATGGTGCTTTACCTTGTTGGCGTTGTGTGCGCAACGCGCCAGGAAAACGAACGGAAGCAGGGCAGCAAGTTGAGGTTCTTGAACTGGCTAGACTACATTACTGCTGTACATAGCACCGATGGAAGTAGGAACAATATGCGAGAGGCGTTCGTGAGAGGCAGGCAGTTGTGAACCATAAACTGCAGCACGAACTGCTGTGTTTCGTTTGCCTCCCGTCGCAAGGGCCGTTCTTTTGTGGAGAGAGTTTCAGTCATGGTCGTAATGGAATGGATGCACACAGATGTGCGCACATACAACATTTTCATTCCGTACACTGTCCCTGAGCCAGACACACATACATAGTCTACATGACGACCTCAACAACTGCAGTAGAGAGACTATCCCAACAGCCAGGTAGTAGTGGTGCCAAAGGCAATACAGCTATCTATGCATTGCTACTTTGATCGGTTCTGATTTCGTGCTCCTACTTGTGGCAGAGATTCACGCGCCATCTGTGGTTTTACGCTTCTACATACGTTGTTGCACCTAAAGGACACAATAGCACGCAGCTTTCGCCGAAAAGATCGGCGGACGGACATGGCCGACCTATTCTTTGCTCTCGTCACTTATGACTAATGCCTGCTGCAAACACACCTTCAACTTCACGGTGAGGTCTTCGCTACTACGAGAAGATTTGACAGAGGACCGACCCTCTGCTGCTGCTGTGCCTGCTGAATAGTCTCTGCCGAGAGGGCAACCGGAAGGTGGTCACAACACGCGATGCACGTTAGCGGTTGGGTGGTTTGGATCCAACAGCTGCGCCGGCAACTGCCACTCCGACAATCCATCATTCATCCATGCTCACCCCCGGTGGCAGCCTCGCGTGTGGGATAGATGTGTGTCCTGGCTTCTTCGCGACAGCAGCAGCAGTGCTATGTTGAGTTTGTGCGCGCTGAGAGATGGTGTCGGCAAATCTATAACCTTCTGCTATTTGGTCGCCGTTTTTTTTTTTTGGTCGTGTGTGGCGCGTGGCCCCGCATTTGGCGCGTGCCATATGGGAGGACAGAGGACGCAGTACATGCATACGTGCAGTCAGTAGTACGGGCCAATAGACACGTGGTTGTGTCACATGTTCACCAGTGGCAAGACCAGATTTAAATGTTTAGACGTTAGTAGCGTTGCTTGCTGCACATCGGAGTTATCCATCGGAGTTGCTGGAGTGTGCCTGATGGTCCTCGCCGAACACATCGCCTGGGAGAGGATACAACTCACCAGCTAACAGCACGTCGTCCAATCGCATACCCCCGAGCGCGTCCGATGGAGTCTCCCGTGTCCGATTAACACCATCACAAGTATGGCCGCCGGCCGACAGGATACTGATTGGAAGAATGTAGAGTAATCGTTTTGTATGAAAAAGTCGCACCGCACCACACGGAATAGGCCACCGAAAAGGCGTTCTGGTCTGGGGAACAGGGGGGGGGGGCGGGCAAATTAGCCTTTCCTTCTTGTTTCTTGGTGCTCTCAGGTGCTGTGCTGCAGCCGCTCGAAGTGTGTGTGCTCGGCGACACTCCCATCCCTCGCCTATTGCACGCAACATGGAAGCTCGAAGCGATGGAGGAAGCGGGGGTGGTATCGGATTTGCTGGTTCCAGCAGTAGCAGTCGCTTCATCTCACAGATCTTTTGGCCAGAACATTGCCTCAATCTCGGTAAGTGGTGCATCTCTTTTCCTTTGCTCGGTGTGCTCAACACAGCGGTACAGCAGCTATCCCAGTGCACACAATCCTGCGTACCATTATTTTGTGCAATCTCTCCCGCTCTTGCCGTCCAACCCATAGCGTTTTTATTTGGCCTCAAGGAAACTACAGCAGTTGTTGTAGCGCCTACGCGGGGGGGGGGTGGTATATTGTGTTTTCCTTCCGTTGCTCGACGTTACCATGTGTTCAAGTTGCATGAGATACCACACACCTTCTGGACCCTTGACCGATTTTCAAAGCTCGGTTTTTCCACGACCAAGAGAAGGCCAATGTCAAATGATACTTTTTTGCGCAGCTCTCAACGAGACTGTCCCAACACTGCAATTTTCGGCACAGTCGCCGCTTCTCGCCGAGTGTACATAACCTATCGAGCTTTGTATCGGTCCAGGGGGTGTGATATCTTACGCAACCTACGGTAGTCACAGGCCTCCCCAAGTGCCTGCTGAGGTTATGTGGTGTGACTTGTTGGGGAGAGCACTTGTAAGGTATTCCACGGTGCGACCGAGGCCAAGTCTTCCGTATCGGGACCTACAGCTATCGAAGTTGTTCCGGCAGCTACACCTCTCCTTTTCTCTCTGGTTGGCGGGTTCAGGGAGGACAGCTATCGGAGTTGTTCCTGCAGCAACACCTCCCCCTTTCTCCCTGGTTCGTGGGTTCAGGGAAGAATCATACAATATCATCGATTGATTCTTAGGTCAGCTTTCCAGGATTTGGAAGTGTGGAACTATGATCTTGAGGGTAGGCTAGTGGTAAGGGATGGTGCTGCCACTTGGCGTATTTAGGGTGTACCCTTTTCGAGAGCCGTGCGTGGGATGGCCGCGAGGTATACCTCCTAACGACCGACCTCACATCAATAACTACCTGCGTGCCCCCTGAGAGGTTGGAGCTGCATCTACTTCAGACACCCTCTTTCTTCCCCAGAAAGGCAGTATTCCGGTCCTTCACAATCGTGGATCAGGAGCATCAAGCGACCCGTGCCTTCATCTCGCTTGGCTAGGACTCCTTTAGGTGTTGCGTCATGCTGTACACTACTACCGTATATGACACAAGATAACACACCCCCTTGACCAGTTTTCAAAGCTCGATTTCTCAACTGCAGAAACAGTCACAGCGCCGAAAATGGCGGGGTTGAAACCGTCTCGTCGAGAGCTGTTCGAAAATATATCATTTCGTTTATGCATGCCCTTCGTCGTGGAGTAATAGAGCTTTGAAAATCGGTCCAGGGGGTGTGTTATCTTGTGTCATATACGGTACTGGTGTATGCCTCTTCATGTTGCGGATCATGCCACACACGGCACCGCCTTTCAAAGCTCTAGTGTTCGATAGCTGAGAGGCCGCCACGACAGCAATCGACCACGTGAAAGTTAGCACTCGGGTGGGATCTTCCCGCAACTAGCCCTAAGACGGAACCAGTGCTGCTGCAACCCGACGGTTTTGGAGCAGTCGAGCTTCGAGCTCCGTCCGGTCTTGAGGGTATGCGATGACCGGGTGACCATCAGAAAGACACCAGTCGCACATGGAAGTGGGTCAACGAAAAAACTTTTGTGGGGGGGGCTCCATGGTGCCGGGGTGTGTCCCTATGTATTACCAGCACTATTCAGAGTACAGAACGACGTGATATATATATCAAGTGTATGCGAGCCGAAAACATCACTTGCACCATACCGCACTCGGCACTATTCGACCGGCACTATAGAGGCCCCCCCACTGTATGTACGCGGCAAGGTAGGCCGCTTTTTTCGTTTGTCTGTACTCTTGCCCTCACGATTCGTTTGCCCTGCCCCGAACTGTCGTGTGTCTGCGCGCCGCATGCATGCCGTTCTACCCGTCGCTGCCGGCACACCCGTCAACGACGGAAGGCGGCAGGAGGGGGTACCTTATCGGCTGGAACACCGCGGCGTTCAAGTGCCTCGTGGTGACTCTCGTGACCGTAGACGCGGAGACGGGTCTCCCTACCCTCGCCCAGGTACAGCACAGCACTGGGCGCGGCGCCTCTTCCCAGGAAGAGGAACCCCCTTTTTGATTTTTCCTGTGAGCGGGATTACGGCTTGCTGGAATTATCTGGGTGACGTCGTGCTATGTGGGGCACCATTCCGCGTGCACCTTTGGCGACGGCCCCCTCTTCTTTCATGGTTCCTTCAAAAACACAACAGATTCATCTCTTCCACCGATGGAAGAGCCGGGGATAGATTACAGATAGTGACAATGTCATGGTGACCAACCTATGCTTGTACGGTTCGTTCCCCGAGCAGCGATCTCCCGTGTGGTTGACAGGCTCAACCAAAGGCAGCTGTTGCATGTAGTCTGAGGCCTTTCGTCTCGAGAGAGCACGAACCGGCCTAGCAAGGTAAGACATCTTTCGGTCCCTTGCGTAAAACAGGCGATCGCTCCGAGCGAGGTGGGTCGATGACACCGGAGCGAGAGCACGCGTCTCGTGGCATGCGCCCGATTGGAAGTTCCTGGCGTGGGAAGGGAGGCAGCAGCCCTCCCCCCGGGGAATCAGAAGCCCGTCACCCGTGATGTCGAGGCCTTAACGTGCAATGGAACGCCCCACCCCTGGGTGCTCATGAATTGTTTTGTCTGTTGCATTCTTTCCCCGAGGTATCGCAATACCATTTTTGTTGCCATGTGCTGTTTTCAGCTTCCGCCGTTGTCGTTAGTTTGCTGTTGCCTTTTGCTCGCACCCCCCTTTCCCTTGCAAGCTGATCATGTTTGCAACTCGCCCCCCCCCTCCACCGCCGCCGCCGCCGCCGCCGCCGCCGCCGCCGCCGCCTCGACCCGTTTATCTTGCGTACCATACCTTTTGAAGACCGAGCGTGCTCTGGAATTACTGTCTGCGGACCCCCGCTGCCGTACCCTGAACGACTTCTGCTCCAGCGACGGGGCCCCGCCTACCGTCCTGGGAGAGTGGCTACCCAATGGGTGAGACTGCAGAGGGAGGAGTACAGCAGGGGTGTCTATCTGGGCCATGGTCGACCTGCACGATGAGATGCTCCTTGGGGCTGTTGGTTCGATGGTTCGGTGCTCAAGTCAAAATCGTCTTCGTCCTCGAACGTACCGCCGTCCGCCGTGCAGCCTGCGGCGCACGTCTTCCGGTCCCCGGACGAAAACAATCGTAACACTTTCCCGCGCTTTTGTCCTCGCACTACGTCTTGAGTGCTCATATTGCGTCTTTCTCGTTTTCTTATCAGGCCCTCCCGTCCTCAGCACGGTGGCGGCGGCGGGGCCAGCGGAACCGGTGCGGGTTACGACTCCTACCACGACGATGGTGCCGGCCGCGCGGCGGCTGCGGCGGCGGCACGAAGGCAAAGCGCCAACATCTGGCTCACCGTGGGGCAGAGCAGGGGCCGTCCGGTGCTGCGTTCGCTCTACTGCTGCGGTTGCGCTTACAGGCGAGTGTCGGCCCAGCCGCAGCAGCAGGAGTGATCGGCACAACAAAAATGGATGCCATTGTCAGCATCAGTGAGAGGCACGGCTCGTCCTTTGCTTTGCGGAAGCAGACTCCCTCCCCCCGTTGTCGCCCAGTTTCATACTCTGCGCGGCCCCCTTCCCCCCCGATTGGCTGTCGGTCCTGTGGGAACAAGGCTCTGTCCTCCCGGGGCTGCATGATCTAACAGCTAAGGCGTGCGAAACATTGAGTACGCGCCTCCTTCTCCCACACGCCCCCGTCCGCCCCCGCCGTGTGCCTGCCGCCAGGACCTGCTGCTATGTGGTGCTGTACCGGCCATGCAACCCCGACGTGCTGGAGTACCTCCCGACGATCAAGAGAAACGCCTCCTCGGGAGACGAGGACGGCGACGGCGGCGGGGGCGGTGACGAAGATGACACAGCGAGTGTTGCCGCCGCAGACAAAAACAACTCGCACGGGGAGGACGGCAGCCCTTTGTCTCGAGCCGCTGACGATGCTGCGGAGCCCCCCCTCTCTGCGGCGGCGTCGACGGCGGGTGCGAGCGGCGCTCGTGATGAAGCCGGCCACGGAGCGGCGGCCGGGGTTGGTGGGGGGGACCGTAAGGTTGACGTCGGTGTGAACAGGTGAGCCCGTCCGGAGGACTGAAGTAGACGCACTGCAGGGCAGAGTGCTGCTGTGTTTATGGTGGATATGTGTCAAGTCTTTATCTAACAAAAGATATACTCGTAGGCTCTCAGCCTCCCAGCGGGATCATTGGGTGATAGGCTCCCGGGCCGGATCCCTCGCCACGCGCTGCTGATAAGGTAGTAAGCTGTTTGAGTAGCATAGTAGATATGTCTTTATCTAACAATAGATACACGCACGGGTTCGAACACCGGCTGGACCACCTTTGAAGCACCCCCTACCTACTTTATCAGCAGCGCCTGGCGAGGGATCCGGCCCGGGAGATCCCCATCAACCAATGATCCCGCTGGGAGGCTGAGAGCCTACGAGTATCTCTTTTGTTAGATAAAAACTTAAGACTCATCCACTATGCTCGTCTAACAGAGGCTATATACTAGCGAGGTTAGTCGGAGAACGTCATTGTGGAAGCACGATTTCGCAAGTGTAAGTCTATCTTCTCTCGGAGACTCTCTGTCCGTGCTCGTCCTCGACTCCAGACCAAAACCGTCGCAGTGTTGTCGTAGTTGACGCTAGGGCTCTTTTGCGAGTACTGCCCGCTGCCGCGCATGCTACTCATCAGTCTGGCTCTTTGCTACTGCTCAGGCCACCGCCGCTCTCTGCTTGGCAACGCCATCAGTCATTGAAACATGCCAGATCCCCCGGCGGTCCATATCGTCCTGCAGGGGTTCCGTAGCTCAGTGGCAGAGCGTGCGACTGTTAATCGCGAGGTCGAGGGTTCGATGCCCTCCGGAACCGTTCATTTCTATCGTGATCCTTTTTTGCCCCTTCCCGTGGTGTTTTCCCACCCCCGCTACACCCCCCCCGGTATTCGCCATCGGGGTTGGGTTTTCGTCGCTTGGCAACGAAGTTGTAAAACAAGCCAATTCACGTCGTGAACTCGGCAACCAGGTTACCTTTTTTTTTTTTCCTCTTTTTTTTTTTGGCAGTAGCCACAATGGTGGTCCAGTAGAACATGTTGTGCGGGGTCGAGAACCCTCACTCCGCGCAAGGGGAATGATTGCACCACGTTGTGTTAAAATGGTCAAGCACCCTCGAGGCAGTTACACAGTGCTTATAACTGTCTCAGGAAGGGAAGCACCAGTACATAACTTAAGTCTTACGCAGCTGTCATCCGTACGCAAGGAAGCAAGCACAACATGCCGAACACCCTTAGCAGGATGCAGCGCACCATGCGACTCGCCGAATATCTCACGGCGCTTCGCGCTTGGTGATGTGAGAGCCTGGTCCGGTGAGAACCCGGCGTGCTCCGTCTCCGGCTTCGTAGAATGCGAGG